ATGGGGACACGGGACGGGGATGGGGACACGGGACGGGGGGGCTGCACTCACCAGCATCCTCTCCAGGGCCGAGTGCAGCTTCCGGATCTTGTGGGGCAACATCTGCACAGGGACAGGGGCAGGGCTGGCACCCCCTGTCCCCCCCCCAGGGACCCCCCGGCTGTCCCACCCCCCTGTCCCCCCCTGTCCCCCCCGTCCCCTCGCTGTCACCTCCCAGGTCTTGGCCAGCCGCGTCACGGCCGTGTTGCTCACACCGAACATCACCGCGAAAAAAGAATTCAAATTCTTCTGCTCCTTGAGGCTGCAGCGGGGGACGGGGACGGGTCAGGGACAGGACGGGGACGGGGACGGGGACGGGGACAGGGAGGGGACAGGGACGGGGACAGGGACGGGGACAGGGAGGGAGACAGTGGCAGGAAAGGGACAGACAGGGACAGGTCAGGGACAGGGAGGGGACAGGGACGGGGACAGGGACCGGTCAGGGACAGAACGGGGACGGGGGACAGGGAGGGAGACAGTGGCAGGAAAGGGACAGACAGGGACAGGTCAGGGACAGGGAGGGGACAGGGACGGGTCAGGGACAGGGATGGGGACAGGGAGGGGACAGGGACGGGGACAGACAGGGACAGGAAAAGGGAGAGGGACATGGGATGGGGATGGGGACAGGACAGTGACCCTGACACTGACAATAACACCGACACTGACACTGACAGTGACACTGACAGTGACAATAACAGTGACAGTGACACTGACACCGACAATAACAGTGACACTGACACCGACAGTGACACTGACACTGACACCGACAGTCACTCACTGCGCCGCCAGTTTGATGAATTTGCGCAGGAGCCGCGCTCGCCGGCCCAGCTCGGGGCACAGGCACAGCTCGGTGGCCACCCAGAACTGCAGCTCATTGAATCGCCGCAGGACCCGCGCCAGGTTGGCCGTGGCCACCTCGTGGGACTTGTGCGGGCCCACGATGTAGTGAATCATCTCCACCTGCGACAGGCGGCAGGTGAGGGCTGTCCCCACCCCCCGAACCCCCAAATAACTCCTCGAATCCCAAAACCCC